ACAATAATCTGTCCAAGAGGAAAAACTGAGTGTGGATTATACCGACCCTCAGGTGGTAGTACCAGGGATCGGGTGACCTTATTTACATGTTTCTCAAATGCTTGTCGTGTTGTCATCGTCGCCCTCTTCTTCCTCCTGCCTGGTCTCTTTAGGGATCATCTGTCTCTGTCTCACCCTGTCACATCAACCTTCTCGGCGATCTTCATCCATGTTGTCTGGACCAATGATAAGAATTTCTGGGGTGTTTTCTTAGTTTACTTTCAAATTGCCCTGCTCAGTCATTTCAGTTGCTAAATTAGCTCGGTCTCGAGCCGGAGCGATAAATAAAACATGACTTTGTCCATACCTCCGCTGCAAAATTCAAACCCAGATCCGTCCTCTTGTGAGGGAGCATTGTTGATCACTGCGCCACTTTGGACCCTGGCATGTCACAAACAGTGCATATGAGCATTTCACTCACAAATCCAGGATTAATCAAGATGTTTTTCACCAGATTTACAAGTTGAAATACAAATGACACATTTTTAACCCTAGCCGTTGTTTACACTTCTCTGAAACAGTTAACTGGAAAAGCAAAGGTTGAATGTTACAACACAGATACAATACAAAGATCAAACATTTGATGCACATTTAAATGCTTGCCACAGTGTGAGCTGTGACCCTGTGGTGAGTCCTGAAGGTACTCCAGGTAGGCTGCAAGCAGTGATTTATAATAAAACACAAAAAGCTTTTGACTTTTTGTCATCTATAAAGTACCTTTCAAATGTTTTAAATTAGATTATATAAAAATCAGGATTAATCAAAGAAAAACCTGGAATTTAACTTGAATTATTATTCATTAATTTTAATTCATGTGACGTCTTTCATCTTATTCTGCTGCGTTTATCAGCTTATTCCATTTTATTAAACATTGGCTGCACATGATCTGCTAAACTTCCAGTTTGAACTGAACCAGATTAAAGCAGATGCTACCCTGGACTGGTTTTGCACCAGTTAGATGTTAGCTGGTCCTCTAATCAATCATAAATTGCTCAGCAGGCATTTTTAGTTCAAGGTTGAAATTAGGATGAATTCATATTTTTGTAATGGCCTCAAAAATGCAAGTTTTCCTCCAGAAAACAATGTGAATGGATGCCGGGTGGTTGGTGTTTTCATGCATTTTACTGTTTAAATAATAAAACTAGGTTGACGTGTGTCAATATCCCCTCGCAGGTGCGAGACCGAAGAGAGGAACACCAGGCGTCTGGAGGAAGAGGTGGCTCTGCTCAGGGAGACCAAGAGGACGGCAGATCACAGCAGCATGATACTGCATGCAGAGGTTCACCGCTCCATGACAGAGCTGCAGGAGATGCACCGGGAATTTGAGGTCATTAAATGTTCTTCTGTCTCGCCTTCTCGTTCATTTGTCTTTTTAACTTTGGTCTCTTTTCTGTCCTCCCGTGCTTTTCCATCTGCATCCAAAGTAGAAACTAGCTCACCCCTATAACTTCAGCGAGAACATTCAGGCTGCAAAACTCCGTAATTCTGAGACAGAGTAGAGGAAGAAGAAGAGAAGAGGCGGGAAATTACAGTACCTGCATGTATGGAGGAATGAGTTGACATTTTCTTGTTGGTGCTGGATTCAAACTGTCACTTGTAGGGGCTGGAAAAGAGCAGAAACCAGCCCCTACAAGTCTATAACCAGTTTTCACACATTTCCACTGCAAAAACATTGTGGTGCCAAAAAGCTGCCATCGGCATGGAACAAACTTAAGGCCTTTGAAGCTTTTATTGTCAGTGGCTGTGGAAAAGAGGTACATGATGAGGCACATTTTCAAGAGACTGTCTATTAACTGCATCTCGAACTCTCACATTAAAAACAGGATGAAAAACAATTTCCACACAGTCTTTGTTTGTCCCTTCACTCGTGAACGCTACATGACCCTTAAGTGGTTATGATATATAAAATACGTAATAGTCCTGTTTAGATCTGTAATTATAGGAATACTTGTTATAATAACACGTAAATTATAAGTGATCTGTTCCAACCTCGACATAATAGTCCTGTAATGACTGGGTGTGCACGAGCACTTTTTTTCCCTTGTGTGAGAAACACTTCACCGTGACCTCGTCCGTCCCTCCTCCATCTTTTCTTTCCTCCCTCCTTATCTTCATTTTCTCATTCCTGCTGACTAATACTCCCCTCCCTCACTTTCAGGATCCTGTCGTGCACACACTTGTGCATAAATGTGGTATTGATCCCTGCTTCCTCTCCTTGTCTCTCCACATGTGTTCCCACTTTTTTCTCCTTTGCATTTTACTCACCTTTTTTCATTCACAATTTATTTTAATCCAACTCTCATCTCTCTTTTTGTCTCTCCTGTATTTTTTACCATCCTTCACCCTCCCCTCTCTCTCTCTGCTCCCTTTCTCTCTCCCTCCCCCTGGTTGGCTGTTTTGCAGGCAGCCCGGGCTCTGCAGCTGCAGCGGGCCAGCTCCTGTGATGCTCTGTTAGCGACGGCCACGGCAGCAGCAGCAGCAGCAGGAGGGGAGGAGGAGGATGGCACAGGGATGGAGCTCACCCAGCTCCTCGACCGAATCAGAGCGCAGTGCGAACAGAGCAGACTCCCCAGCCCGGGGGAGAGACACCTCGGCCTGGGCGCCATCTCAAATCCAGCCCCCGGCTTGGTCGGGCCTCCTCATGCTGGAGCTGGAGCAGCAGCAGCATCCAGAACACACAGAGGAGCCCTCAGCGAGGTACGCATCCACTCTTACACAATCTTCACTTGTCTTTTCTGAGGACAACGGTCCTGATCTGTGCCGGTCCGACACGCCCTCAGGACCAACTCCAGGCTGTCCCACAGGCAGGGTGATGCATGTGCCCCGCTGGTGTTTGCTGACTGGGGTAAAAAGCTTGAAACCTCTCCTTCCTTGCTATATGGCCTGTTTGTGTGCAGATTTGTGTGTTTGTCTCCTTTCTCTCATCATCTAAACACAGTAGTGGTGGTCTGTGTGAATGATCCCTCACCTTCATTAAATATTTACAACCCAAAATACAACCTAAGCATCCTCATCCTGTGTCTAGTAATAGCAGCTTTGTTTTGTTTTGACGTTTCCACTCTTATTTTAGCTCAGCTGGCCTCTTTTCTGGGAAAAACACAGTCCAGAAGCTGTTTATTATTCCACGGCACCATGACTTTGGTCTGACAGCAACAATAAAGTGCCTTCGCCAAGGGCTGAGAGCGACCACGGCACTAAATCAGGGCAGGTTTTATTAAGTTCTGCTGTTTACATCAGACCCACTAACAGCAGCACAATGCAGCAGTCAAGAGCTGACAACACGGCAATAAAAAAAATCAAGATTTTAGATTCAAAGACTGCGTTTCGCTTGTTTCAGAGGAGTTCTTCTTTTCCTCTAATCTGTAGGAATTAAGGATAGGAACGTAGCGTAGCTAAAATGAATTGTTTTGTGGGGGGCGTGAGCAGTTAATATACTTTAACTGATTCATCAATACATGGACAACTGCTTCTTGTTGTCCTGTTATGTGTGGATGTGGACTCCAGAAGTCAGACTAACACACGGGCAGGTGGAAAACTCAAAGAATACCTTTAATGAGCACGTGTAGACAGTTCAAGGAAAACAAAGTCCGAAAGGTAACTAAATCCAGAAGGAGGAAAAAACAAACCAACCAGGAAACGGGACAGGAAGGAATAACAAATGCACCGACAAAGGACTGACTGGGCTTATACACACACTGAGGGATAATGGGAATTGGACACAGCTGTAGGAAGCACAACAAATGGGGAAGATGAGACGAGGGGAAGTGAAGTGAATGCGAGGCGCAAGGACAGATGACTTATCGAAATAAAAAAGGAAGTGAAATAAAACTGAATGGGGAAACAGACACAAATGAACACAATACAATTACACAAAAGTGTGAAACTAAACTCTAAACTGCCAAAAACTGAGAATGGAACTAAACTGAAAAATCTATAAAGAACAGGACAACCAAAGATTATAACCAGGAACTAAGGAACAAAGGAAGACTAAGAATTCGTTACCCAGGACCACGACTCCCATCTGCACAGCATTACTCTGTCTGTATTTTACCTTCTAATTAAACTAAGCAAGCAAAAATATTAGAAATTATGATAGATTATTTGCCAAATATGTATTTGGCAAATAATCTATCCTAATTTCTGCAGCTCTGCTGAATAATTATCTGTTTTAAATCTTAAGTGAACTGCCTGGTTCTGGAGATTTTAGCTGAGTAGACATCAGCATTTGCTTCTGCACACTGGACAATCACTTTATGGTGTTCAAAGTGCCAAAAAGGACATAAAAAGCGCAGCAGTAATAGGTTATTTCAGAGACAGTAGTCTGGTTGCTGAAACAAAGTATAAAGAGCTCCACAAGACAGAAAGATAATATAAGAATATGTCGGTTTAATTTTAGGAGGAGCTGTCTGGATACCGTGTAAGATTATACAGAGCAGAACATTTACAATGTTTACCTTATGAAACGTCAAAGTCTGAGTGCAAAATAGACTAAAGAATCCAAACCTCCATCCATGCATGACTTCTGTCATCACGTTCAATGGCAGTAAAGCTCTTTAAGCTTAAAGGCGCCAATTGGAGTTGTCTCTGAACAAACAAAAGTTTATATTTAGATTTTTTTAAAAGCCTGGATTGGAATCGCAGCAGATGCAATTCAAGCTTTGTATAACTGTAATAATGTAATTCTGCAGTTTTCTTGCTACTGGAAATGAAGATGAAAAGACTTAAGTCTTTTATAATGCTGTATAAGTGAGGAAAATGTGGTGCACTGATGTTTCACGGTACGCAAGCGTGAGTCTGACCAGGCAACGAACAGTATGATGCACAAATTAAAAACATAACAGGATGAAAAGAAAAGCAAAAAAACAGAAATAAGAACAAAAAACTGTAGAATTTAAAAAAATGTACCGCATACGAAAGCAGATCAAATGCAAATATTTACCCAAGCACATGTCAACAGTATATAAAGCGCACACATGAATGAGCTGATCCAGAACAATAATATTAACCCAGTAATATAATACACATAATAATTTAACTCCAAGAACAGATTTCAGCATCAACATGCTCCACATATGACGGCCTCATGAATAACTCACTGATATGTTCTTATGTAATATAACCAGTGTTGGGGAGTAACGGAATACATGTACTGCCGTTACGTATTTAAAATACAAAATATGAGTAACTGTATTCCGTTACAGTTACCGTTTAAAAAGGTGGTATTTAGAATACAGTTACTTTGTTGAAATAAATGGATTACACGGCGGTACTTCCCTGTTTCATATTGTGGCGGGTCAGGACTGTTTGGGTTTTGTTTGACAGCTACGTTCTGTTGTTCCAGGCGGCAGCGTTACGGTTGCCATGGTTACAGGGTGACGCTCTCTCTCTGCGTGTTTCCTGGGTGAGAGAGCGCCTGTTGTTGTTGTGCTAAGCTAACAGGCAGAATGCTACAGGTATAGCTCTAAAGAATGTAGCCTGATGGGCAGTGTAGTCCGTGCTGCAGGGAGAATGGACTGCCATACACGTTATGTGTCTGTGAGCGAGGGAGGGAGAAAAAGGAAAAGTACGAGCTGTCATCGAGCAGAAACGGGAGCTGGAAGCATGTAAATATAATAATAACCACTGCAGCCAAGAAGAGAGCCTGACGAGCCCAGTTGTAAGTAAGCTATTAAGACTCGACTGTACACCGTGTTCGTGTTTTCCTCCAAAAACAATAAGTTCCGTTGGAGCAGCCTTTCAACGCCTCTCTCTGTCTGTCGCAAGCAAAGTTGACCCAGACAACAAAGTAAAGCTAGTTTTCAGCTACGAGCCCGACACAAACCCACTGTATTAGCCAGAGGTCCCTTTACTACGGTTAAGAGCCGCGGACCTTCAGTAACAGTAATAAATCACAGCAATAGTACATTCATGTAGTTGTAAACAGCATGATAATATATTAAGTAATCCAAAGTATTCAGAATACGTTACTTTCATTGAGTAACGTAACGGAATACGTTACAGAATACATTTTGGGGCATGTATTCTGTATTCTGTAATGGAATACATTTAAAAAGTAACCTTCCCAACACTGAATATAACATAACACCAACACAACCTCTTCTGTAAGAGTTTTTGTTTGGATTTTACTTCTACTACTTATCTTCTGTTGGATATAGTTGATATATATGTATGATGTCGGTGTTATATATAGCTCGTTTCAAGTGTATGCTCAAGTTTCAAATAAAAATCGATGTATATGCAAGCATATGTAAGTAATCCCTTTTAAATCCACTGTCAGGTCAGGTCTTGTTTGCCGGTGTTATCATCAATGAGCTGCTGATTTCAGTCTCCTTGATTAAAGATCATTTTTTAATTTGTTGCAACAGATAAATGGAGTCAGTGAAGTAACAAATTATACAGGAAGTATCTTGCGTAACTTTGTTTTATCTGTCAAAATATTGTCATAAGTGCCGAGACAGCTTCACCGCTCTGCTGCGTTTTAACGGGGCGAGGACGAAGGGTGTGAAACGCCTCACAGCTGTGCAGTGTGTGGACAGCTGTGTGTACACGCCGTCTGTTTACCTTGCACTGAAACACACATCACCAAAGGCACCACCTGTGACTGCTTCGCCTCTGTGTTGTCTGACAGTGCCAGTGGGGAAAAGTACTTACTCATGAGGTGTGTGTGTGTGTCATTGTGTGAACAGGCCGCTGTTGTGTTTACATAGTACAGATATTAAACCCAACAATTGCATCTCATCGGCTACTTTACATTAACACAAATATGAAACCACTTGAGTGTGTTCTATGAGGGAAAAATAGGTAGGTGTGTGAGTGTTTGGCTAAAAGGGTGGTGGTGGGATTCACACCTGTTTAAACATCTGGCTCCCCTCTCGTTGTGCAGGAGGAGGCAGCGTGGGCGCAGGTGAGCCTCGGCGGCTCCGCCCTGAGGGAGGCACGGGCCGAGCTAGCCGAGGCCAGGAAGCAGTGGCACTCGCTGCAAGTGGAGATTGAGACCCTACATGCTTTGGTAAGAAAAAACAAATATCTGAAGTTATGATTCGCACTGTTAACACTGCTTCAACACCACATGGCAGACTGCCTGTGAAAAGACGACAATAACAAGAAAAAATACTGTTTTTGCGTAACGTTTCAATTTAGCAACTAAAGGGAGTTTTAATACATCTGTGCCAAGATATACATAAGGTTTCTATCTTTCAATCACCGATACTTTATTATTATTTTTTCATTTTCAGAGCTGCTTTCATAAACATTGTGCAACTGATTCCATAACTGCAATTCATGGAAAATCTAAGGAATGAAAACTGGAATAAAAAAGAAGAAAAAAAAACTCATTCAGTTTAATTTCAGTTCAGTTTATTTAATTCCCAACTGCTGCTTTAATGTAATTTTACATTTTAGATGTGAATGAACCCACAGGATTAGAAAAAAACCTCTAAAGATCGGACAAACCCCTGTGAACTGTGGGTTGGCAATGGTGGGAAGGAAGAACTCATTTTTAACAGGAAGAAACCTTCAATAGAACGAGGCTTAGACAGTTTGAAGGTGAGGAGACAAAGGGAGAAAAGAGGAGCATAGAAAGACAAGAACAGCATAAAACAAGCGTTAAA